ATGCTAGCGCCGGTCCCGTGTGCGATCGTCGGCCGAGCGAAAGGAGCATGTCGGTGTTCTTGTGCTTTGATCTGTGACTTTCTGTGCTAAAAACGAGTGTAAACAGACTTCGGAGGTACGAAGGTTTGAGCGCGAGCCCTCGCCTACCGCGGAGGCAATTCAGATCGGTGTCATCTGCATCCATCGCAGGCCTCTACCACCTAGTTCGTATGAACCAGCACATGCGAGGCACAGCGGCTGAAAAAACTCTACGGTAGTTTCCGTCGCAACATAGACACCATATACGACGCCCGAAATATCGCGTAGTTCATACGGAGGAGTTTTTATCTGCACTGTGTTTGTTTTCAACATCGGTATTCATCATCGCTGAAAACGAACCTCGCACTAGCCAACACATTTCCGTGATGTGAAAACGTACGAACTTATATAAGTGTATTCGCGAATCGTATGACGCGGAAACATTCGTTGGCTTCGGTGCTAATCGTTTTCGTGTGTTGCCAAGCTAATAACAAGCGTGCGCTGGTTGGTAGCAGTGACATGTGACTTCGTGTCGGGTACCAGCGACGCTGACACATTGAGCTGTCAGCGGTCTCATTTCCATTCACGTACAAGACAGAAAATCGAGCGTGCGTTGCTGTGGTGATCGAAAAAGAAAGTTGCATGATTAAGTGCTGCTGGTATTGCCTGCTATTTCACTTCTCGCTTCTTCTGCCTCTCTGCCATGCTCAGTAGCACATACGTTGTTTGGAGTCATTCTAACACACACATTCTTAATTTATAGTTCATTCTGATACTTATAGCTATAGGCATACAATGGCGCTTCTTCGTCGTTTTACAGTTTACTATAACATAAAGCGCGTTCTGTTTACAGCTGGACAGATAACTGAAACCTTGTGAGAAGCATCTGATTTGAAATCAGCTGCACGATGACACAATTGTTGGAAGAGAAGATCACCACATGTATGCACAGAATGAATGAAGGTGCACTAGTATGGTACTGCACTTTGTATAGAAGAAATGCAAAAGTACCTCATGTGACTTATATCCCGGCTGCAGCGGCTGCATTTCCGATGGAGGCGGAAATGTTGTAGGCCCGTGTGCTCAGATTTGGGTGCACGTTAAAGAACCCCAGGTGGTCTAAATTTCCGGAGCCCTCCACTACGGCGTCTCTCATAATCATATAGTGGTTTTGGGACGTTAAACCCCACATATCAATCAATCAATCAATCATCATGTGACTTATAAGACCTTTAAGAGCTGTGTATGTAATTATCTGTTCCTCCAGACTGTAATGAGCTGAAGATATTCGATGGTTCCGAACATTGAATATTTGTATGTGTTTCCAAGGAGTCCTTCATTTCTGTTCCGTTCTTTAGTATATGCATTAACTTGGATTATATATACGCATGCACTTAAGCATATTCAGTTTATTTCTGTTGGAAAACTTGCCAAAACTTCTGTACGGTGCTCTGGTGCAATCCTTTGATCGGTATCTGTCCCATCAAAAATTTTTGGCATGCTTTATTGCATTATAGGGTATTTTGACAATTGATGACATGTGAAAGCCACAGTGCTTGGCTGTAATCTCAAAACCAATGTCTGTCTCATCAAGAAGTGTCAGATGCATTTTGTAGATGTCAAAGGATATTTAAACTACCAGCAAAGTGCTGAAGTCTTCAACACAGCACTGATCCGCAATCACCACCCAGCTTAGAAGTCATTTGTAGAGCTCTCTAACACGTTTAAATAAAGTTATCAAACACTGGATTGATCTACTTGGTTTGATTCCTAATACCAGTGTGTCTAACTTTTTGGAGGCACTTGTATTATAATAATGTCCTATTTCTTTCATTTATTACAGGGGTGCACTCAAGGGTAGTGATATCTGTTTACCTTGGCACACCTAATGTGATATCACTGTTTAAATCCTTTCATATTGTATATATGTACGCCACTTTTGCAGTAGCCTCACAGTGAGCAGCCGTATTTGAAAATAAATAAATATACCATCCGAAAGTGTTCCACGCTGTGCTCAGTTCCAATCTGGTAACTAATATCTGTTGCATCACGATGTGTCAGGTGTGTTTCATTGCATTGGAGAACATTTTGGCTGCCTTCCATGAAGGGTTCAGTTCCAGTATTATGACCGATATCTGTGACTTCATGAAGAGTTGGGCGTCATTTGTCGTTTTAGAGAATACTTTGACTAAAGACAACGTCCAGAAGTCTTCCATACAGGGTTCAGTTCCAATATTGTGACCGATATCTGTGACTTCATAAACAGTTGGGTGTCGCTTGTCGTTTTAGAGAATACTTTGACTGAAGACAACGTCCAGCAGTCTTCCATTAAGGATTAACTTTGACGGAAGACAACGTCCAGCAATCTTTCATTAAGGATTCAGTTCTAATATTATGACCGATATCTGTGACTTCATGAACAGTTGAATGTCGTCTGTCGTTTTAGAGAATACTTTGACTAAAGACAACGTCCAGAAATCTTGCATTAAGGTTTCAGTACTAATATTATGGCCGATATCTGTGACTTCATAAACAGTTGGGTGCCGCTTGTCGTTTTAGAGAATACTTTGACTAAAGACGACGTCCAGAAGTCTTCCGTACAGGGTTCAGTTCCAATATTTATGGCCGCTATCTGTGACTTCATGAACAGTTGAGGGTCGTTGGTCATTTTAGAGAATACTTTGACTAAAGATAACGTCTAGAAGTCTTGAATTAAGGTTTCAGTTCTAATATTATGACTGATATCTGTGACTTCATGAACAGTTGGGTGTCGTTGGTCGTTTTAGAGAATGCTTTGACTAAAGACAACGTCCAGAAGGCTTGCATTAAGGTTTCAGTTCCAATATTTATGACCGCTATCTGTGACTTCATGAACAGTTGGGTGTCGTTGTCATTTTAGAGAATACTTTGACTAAAGACAACGTCCACAAGTCTTCCACTACAGGGTTCAGTTCCAATATTATGACCGCTATCTGTGACTTCATGAACAGTATGGTGTCGTCTGTCGTTTTAGAAATACTTTGACTAAAGACAACGTCTTCCAGAAATCTTGCATTATGGTTTCAGTACTAATATCATGGCTGATATCTGGAACTTCATGAACAGTTGGGTGTCGTCTGTCGTTTTAGAGAATACTTTGACTAAAGACAACGTCCAGCAGTCTTCCATACAGGGTTCAGTTCCAATATTATGACGATATCTGTGACTTCATGAATAGTTGGGTGTCATTTGTCATTTTAGAGAATACTTTGACTAAAGACAACACCCAGAAGTCTTCCATACAGGGCTCAGTTGCAATATTATGACCGATATCTGTCACATCATGAAGTGTCAGGCACATTTAGTTCATTAGAGCACATTTCGACTATGGAAAATGCCCGAAGGCATTCTACGCAGTATTTGGTTCCTATCTTATGGCCAATATCAGTTGTATCAATAAGAACCACGTGTGCTTTGTTGCATTAGAGGATATTTCGAACACACACATCAGCCGGAAGCCTGCTACTCTGGCCTCAATTGTAGTCTTATGACTGACTTAAATCTGTCAGATCATGAAGTTGCAGGCGCGATTATTAAGTTGACTGATATAAAATATGTTGTGTAAATATACTGAAGGTACCAGCATATGCAAGATATTTTTAGTAACTTTGGTAGTGCAGGTATAGAAACCCGGTGGTTTGTAAACCTGATCAGGAGGGCAGCCACGCCTCATTCACCGCAGAGAGAGCTCAATGTGAACTCAATATATTAACATAATAGGGAGGGGGGGCTAAGTCAGACCTGGGGAGGGGCACTGGGGCAAACTTTTGCCCCCCCCCCTTCTTAAGGAGAACCCTGCACACGCCTATGATAGACTTACAGTATGCTAGACGCGAATGTTCTTTCGCGGGTGCGGCGCACGCACCGATGTTGATTTCTGGTGCATACCGCTGTAGTTCTCTAAAATGTCAATTACTTCTAAAATAGTCTAAACTGTGGTGGTTGAAGCACTATCAACTTGTTAACGTGTTCTCATATCCTCTAAAACAAACATTCCCGCTCCAGTTGAGAACGTGCCGTTCTGTGCTGAACTTGGACAGTTCTAAGCCAAAAGATCAAGCAACATTGTGCATCGGCCTTGGACGCGTGGGCGTCAACGCGGTCGACGCGTGCCAGTAGCTGCGCGCCCTTTTCCTCCACAGGCGCGACTAGACGCTTTTGACGCGTAGGCGCATGCATACGCGTGCCAGTGGTTGGCACTTTATACCTTTAAAATGCGCTTTTATCAAGGTCCCTTTTTAGGCAACTTCTTGAGTTAGACATCATGTTGTTGGTACTTTTGATAGCCCAATTGGGATGAAAATTTTACCACATATTTTTTAACATTTGAAGGGCGCAAGTGTGTCCTCTTAGCTTGATATCACATATCTAATTATTACCAACCACAAGAAAGCAATTAGTATGAGCTGATGATTCAAAGAATTATCACATTAATATTTTTCTTCTTCATTGATTTGTCTAATAAGTTCTTTTTTATTCTTACTTGCATTGTATAGTTAATGTAGAGCAATATTAGCTATTAATGGCTCAGAATGATATATGAGTAGGGGCATAAAAAGTTTGACAAACATGGACTATACACATTGTTGTGACATAAAACGAAAGCTGTGCAACTTGCTAAAAAACTAATTGTATATTTAAGATCGCCATAAAAGTCTTTATTTACAATCAAAATTTCATTTGCTTAGGGCACATATTAATGCAATTTTTTTAATTGCATCTCCCCTTAATAGCTATTTCATTTGAGGACCAAGATCAAGCACCGAGTTTTTGGTTTGAGAACCATGCGCCAAACTGTCTAGCACAGTGTTGAATTTATTATACAGCAGTTCTGAATATATTCGTACTCACTTCCGTGCTGAGAATAAGTAGCAACACTCGAGCGACAGAGTATGCCTACCACTTGCCTTACGCAGCATAGTGCACTCCTACGTATCGCCATAATGGCCAAGCAAAAAGCTGTCATCCTGTTTGATGAAAGAAATGCAGCGGTTTGGTATTCTGCAATTGACCAGGATATTAATTGGTGACCAGAAATATTGAAATAAGGAACTTAACGCCTGTGTTCCAATTCTTAAACAGCACGTAGATAGTCTATGCAGACAGCTTAGAAGACAACACCGAGCTCATGCTGTCCGAGAAATGGAACACGTCCGGACGGCTTTTATGCGACGAGGTGCTACCTCGCATTGAGAAGAGAAAGCTAGAATGTGCAAACGTATCTATTGTATTTTCTGGCTTATTTCTTGTTTAAATCTAAAAAAATTAAACGCTACTCACATTGAGCGTTTGCAGATGCGTCTGTGTGCAGAAGACCATTCCGGTGAGATCTGATCTATCCGAGCGATTCGCTGAGATGTTATCTTGTTGGGACAGCAAAGTAGCCTGCATCGTATTTGTCTACGATGTGGTCTTCTCAGAGCTGTCTATTTGCCCGCTACGTGCGAATGAAAATGGGACTTGGAATGGCCGCCGTCCATTTAGCTATCTACTTAGTGGTCTACGGTGAGTATTGGAACACACCCTATGTATCGTCAGCAAGGTCCTCATAAGAAAACTCTGGCTTGGCACATTTCTTTTTCGTATGGTCTTTGATGGGGCCTCAGTCTCGTAAATTGAAATAGAGAGCTTGTTCATGAGACTGCCAGCATTAATGAAGCCCGCTCAGTGCTGCTTTCTTATGGGCCTGCTGGCATGACGGACTGTATAGCAGCACATTTTGGTGGTGGCTTGATGGCTCTTGTTTCTTGCAACATGTAGTTACATGCGAAAAACCCCAGGCAAGTGGGTGTGTTTAGTCTGTTTCATTTCTTTTCTTGTCCACAGTTCTAACGTTACTTTCTAAATTGAAGATCCCAGATAACTTGCCAAGACTTCTTTCTTCTTTCCTTAAGACCAGCTAAGCAATGTCATTGCAGCAGTCTTGGTCTGACTGCAGGAATGCTTCGAGCACCTCAACCCAGTGACACAGGCAGAGCCTCTGACCTGCCTGGTTTGCAAGACGACGTTTGTGCCTCGAGGTCAGCTTGTTTGGTCACGGGATGCACTCATTGTGGTAAGTGTGCACCTCGTATACTTTGCATGCTTTGAAAGTGTTTGTATAGCTTTTTTTAGAAAGCTGGTCGCATATTTAAATTGTTGAAAGTGACGCTCTAGTTAAAGAAACCCTGCAACACTTTTTGAGCATGGTCAGAAAACGCTGTCGATCGGTAGTAGAGGCTCCCGAGAACACGTGAGCGAAATATTATAGCGTAGCACGCGGCCTGAAATTCTCAATAAGTTATCAAAGTCAGCTTAAAATAGCTTTCTCTTCTCACGAGAAATAACGAAAGAAGCATAAATATCACGTGTAAAGGGGCTTCTATCAGGCATTGGCTGACTTAAACGTGGTGCGCTTGTTCCTTCCAGAGATCGTCACGGGAGGTCACAACTAACTAGTCCATGCGTGTGCTTGCGATCACAATGAAAAAGCTACGTATTCGAAGAAAAAAAAAACAAAAGAAACAAGTGCTTAAGGTCACGAGGCATGCGTGATGTATTTTCTTTGCCCATGCCATCCCTCCCTGCTTAGCTGCCAGCGCTTTCGTCGGTTTTCAAGAAGAGAGAATGCCATTTCAGCGTGCAACAAATCGTGGTAACTCTGCTCGTACTAGACGAATTCTTAAAATTTTTGCAGCATTGAATTTCTGAGGTAATAAGCTCTTTTAGCCAATCTATTTCATCGTTACTTGAAAAAGTGTTTCAGGGTTCCTTCACTCTCACCTTGATTGGAAAAAAAGATTAGGGTCATCTACGTTGAAACCGCATAGAACCGTGCCGTACTTTCTCATCATCGGTATCAAGCCTGAAGAAAGGCACTTCGAGCATGCAAAGACAATTGAGTGCTTTGCCAATATCCACCACAGCTGTAAATGTTGAAGGTACTACTTCGAATTGCAGTGCCATATGTGGGGGTCCAGTGGAACAAAGACACAGTCAGGAGCATTGACTTGCAAAAATTGTTTATTTATCCCAGCGAAAGTGTATTTAAAACAGGGGAGTGCCCAGATCAAGCTTTGAAAAGTGAAGCCCAAACAGGCTCAATTCGCTTGTGATGCTGTGATTGGTAGTCTGCAATGTATCGTCATTTTAAAAGTTGCGCATGGCTCCATCTAAGTGACTCGAGAGGTAGAATGCCCGCTTCGGACCCGAAAGGTCCAGGTTCGAACCGTAGCTGTAGATGTTAGTATTTATTTTCTAATGTAACTTGTTATAACCATATTGTGTTTTTATTTATTTATTTATTAAATCTAGCTTCTGTTGTTACGTATTATTTCCATAATTTACGTATTTATTTATTTCTTAAATCTAGCTTCTGTTGTTACGTATTGCAACGAAAAGTAACTTGAGATGTGAAGTAAGATACAAGAACTTTGACAGTGAGCATAATTATTTGCAGCACCACCGCACAGCATTAAACGAAAACGTAAAGTACAGCTTCAAGATCTTTGCAAATACAAGAAATCTCGGAGGCCATACCTTACGTTTTTGCTGAATGCCGTGCGACAACGCTGCAAAGAATCATGCTCTCTGTCTATTTTTTTTTGGTCTTACCTAACTACTTAAGTTACCTGTAGCATTATGTACCATCTGAAGCTAGTTTTAAGAAACAAAGATAAACAATATAACCTGAACAAGTTATGTTAAAAAATATAAACTCAACATCTAGTGCTGCAATTCAAACCTCGGCTTTTTGAGTGGAAAGCAGGCATTCCACCTATGAGCGACTGTGGTGGGGCCGCACAAACTAACATTTTTTTACGGCTCCGAAAACACTTATAGCTGCTCTAAAACATTGCTTTTCCTGCTCCAAAGTATGCTCCAAAAAGTAAAAGTCACTTCTGTCACTGCAATATAAATACAGAAGAATGCAGTTGAAGGCAGCATTATTTTACATAAACTACATATTACAAAACAAGAAGAAACATTAGTTACACTAACGGTAAACCAAAAATCTCTACATACGAAAAAATGGCATAGCACTAAATAGTAGTGCCCAGTAAAAAAAAAAAAACCAAATAAATAGTACACAAATGTATTGTGCCTTTTTAAAGATTAATATGATACCTATTAGAATGGATCATGAAAAAAATAAAATGAAGCATCTGTGTTGCTAGACAACACTGAGGCAGATGACAATTTTCGAAAATGCATGCTCTCTGCAATAGATCTGTTTATTTTTTTGCGAACTGCAGCCACACCCTCTCATTTCAAACTTCCAGGGAAACCAAGATGTGGAGGGTGGCCCTCTCTGCAAGCACTGTGCTCTAAAAACGACCTGGGAGCCGCCGGTCGAGCACAGTTTCCTGGGATGGCAATACATGGACCTGAAAAATGTCCACCGACAGACCATGGCAGCCATCCTCGAACACATTCTCTAGACTCTACACTTCTTTTGTTCTTGTGGTTCATCTAGTACAAGTTTGTTAATTACAGAGTACTCTAGCATTTTGGTTAAGTAAACAAAGAAATAAATTGACCAGCTGAATGGTTGTTGCAATATTATCCAACAGCCTCCAGGTCTCTGCACTTCATAGTGTAATCATCGGAAATCATCGCAGTGATGTTGGTGTGCTCACCTCAGTGAAGATTTCCATATTTTCAGATTTTAACAGTATTCTGGGTGCACCTTACTGCAGTGGGGGGCACCATTAGCCCTTTGGAAGGGCCACATGCAGGTGGACCTCGTTCTGGATTAAAGAGTCTTTGATTTCACAAAGTAGGGACGCTTAAACTTTGCGTGAATGAAAACAGAATACCAAGGTACGCGTTGCGCAATGTGCGTGGTTTTCTTAGCCGAATATGTGGAAGCATGTCACGGTGACACCAGCTTCCTTGCCGCTTCGTTCGGGCTAGGCTCTGCCTGCGTCAGTGGAATGCTCAACAGCCATGCCTGTTTGGCTTTTGTTATTTGCAAATTGCCTTAGAAAGACTTGTGAAATCTAAGAAAAGCATAGGTCATTGGGGTGTGATAATTGTTTCCTCGTTATCATTTGCATAATACTGCTGTTGCTGAGATATTGCATAGTTCAAAATTATACAAAGGAAGAGGAACACAAAAGTAGCATGTGCATTTAAGTTGTTTTGTCTTTGTCTTGATCACAGTAGTGCCGATGTGTATGCATCGGAAACCCACTACATTCTGGCAGAAATTGCATATGTTTTGCCCAGTTTGTGCCAAGATGCAATTTCGTGGCTTTTTTAAGGAAAGACAAGTTGGCAGGCACTCTAAATTTATCATTTGGTCGGTTGCTACAGGAGAGTTACATGTATTTATTGCTAAGCATTGCAGGCAGGGGGTGCTCTACATTTTTTAGAACATTTTTCAAGGCTAACAAGTGTATATACACTTAGTGGGTTTTAGGCTGATGGTGGAGATGAGCAAGTACTAGGCAGCAGTTCTCGCTGCTTGACACATCGAGTTTGCCACTGGTCATATAGTAAGTACCATTTGCCATCGTGACCGTTCAGTTCGGACACAAAAGTACTCACTTTGATACATAGGGTTCTTCATTAATAGAAGGGAAGTTTGTGGTTGAAAAATTAAACAAACAAGCCTGTCAATATGTGCAAAAATGAAAATTAACCAAAGGCATGCTTCTCAGAGCAGCCTGCCTTTGGTTCCCAGTTTTCGGAGGTGGAGGGGGTTTGCAGAACAGTTTTTGGTAGGCACCACCAATACCGTGAAAAAATAGTCACAGCATTGCCGCAGACGAAGCAAGGAATGCGATAGCGAAAAATGCAATATCACACGAAGAATGGGAAGCAGATGAAAACGTGCCTGGCATTGCTCACGCGCAAATGACGCATGAAATGTACTCGCAGGTATACAGATAAATGCGAAGAAGTGTCTCAGTTTTTAATTTGCTGTGTCTGAAAAGCGTGCCCTTTTCGTAAACGGATACTGTGCAATGAGTGCAGTGGCCTTTGTGCGCCCGGTAACTACAAGAGAATCGTTCCGGTGAAAGCCCAAGGCGTGCGGTTCTCCTCACTGTGAGATAAGCGCACGCACGTGTGAGCGTCCACTCCATCCTCACTGCTGGGCAAAGTACGCGTGGGAGATCAGAGCGCGCGTTGCCGCGCCAAGAAGATCTGGCGAAGTGCGCTCATTGCGCAATGTCGCTGGTAATGCTGAAAACGCGGTAGTCCCCCGAGATTGGCAGCGCCAGGGGTAAGTAGTAGACATAAATAGCTTGCCGTTTCAAAGTTGAAGTTGGAGCTTTTTCTTTGCAGTGGCAAACGCCATAAACTTACACGCAAGAGGTCGGACGTTCGATTCCGCGCGCCGAAGTCTTTCTGGATTATTTTTCTTTCAAGCGTTCTCATATATAGATGCGTATACATGTACGATGAATGACGGCGGACGCCGACGTCGACACCAGCGCAAAATCCAGCTGAGAGTGTCCATTTGTTTCCTATCGCATTAAAAATCTGTATGACCAATACAGATATAGCGGCAGGCTGTGTGATGACTGATCACGTCCGACTTGTAATAAGGCAGACATTGCACTTCTCTTAGATTATCAGAGGAGAAACTTTGTTGTTTTTACTTTGTATTTATTTCTATGTCTATTATGCAGACACCCCAGGCGCATTTTCGTAATGCTCCGCATAAAGTTCAAATTCATAACATCACCCCACGCACCGTATGTTCTATGTGTGAGTGCGATCCCGCAAGCGCTGTCAAAAATAGCAGCTCTCGCAGAGATGAAACTCGTCAGGGTGTGGGGGGGGGGGGCTGCATGGTTCCAGTGATGCAACATGCTCTCTTCCTTGCCGTGTGTTCCCGAGTCACACAACCAAGTAAATCTCACGGCCTCACGCCCCTTTCTTGGTTCTAAATATGAGTCAACTGTTATTGAAGCGACTCTTTACTGCTTATGAAGCATCCCCTTTTTATTTGCCGATTGCGTATACGGACGACTAGGGATAATTTTTGCATCCCGATATCAGAAGATTTATTATTATTTTAATCTCGCAATGAAATTGCTGCATCATTGGCGACTACATCAATACATAGGGGCGCTTGCCGTGAGTGGGTGATTGATTGATATGTGGGGTTTAACGTCCCAGAACCACCACATGATCATGAGAGACGCCGTAGTGGAGGGCTCCAGAAATTTCGACCACCTGGGGTTCTTTACCGTGCACCCAAATCTGAGCACACGGGCCTACAACATTTCCGCCTCCATCGGAAATGCAGCTGCCGCAGCCGGGATTTGAACCCGTGACCTGCGGGTCAGCAGCCGAGTACTTTAGCCACTAGACCACCGCGGCGGGGCCTGTGAGTGGGTGGAATTAACGGAAAGAGCGCCAGCATTTGAAGGGATTAAGGTAATGGCAGAACTGATCGATGCAATGCATAGAAAAAAAGATAGAGTTGATCATATGTGGGGTTTAACGTCCCAATGAAAGATGTAGCGGCGGGCTCGGGGAATTTCGGCCACCTGCGGTTCTGTAACGTGCACCCAAATCTGAGTATACGGACCTACAGCATTTTCGCCTCCATTGAAAATGAAGCTGCCACAGCCAGGATTCCATTCCGCGACCTGCGGGTCAGCAGCCGAGTACCTTATCCATGCACTAGACCACCGCGGCGGGGCAGAATGCAACTGCAGCGTTCGACAAATTTTTGTAACTGCGCACATACTGAATTGATCCTAATTTTTTTTTGTGGTGGTGAATTCGTGAGGCAGTAAGCTCTTATGAATGATGACGAGTGGGGTGAAGCGGATGGACAGGCGCACGGGCGGATTGATGTACGCTTCGCCACACTTATCATTGTTCACTCCGTGGATATGCTGTGACGCAATTTTAAAACCTTGAAACTGGCTACTGCGACGACACGAGACGCCTGTCCGTCCGTCTGTACATCCATCTAGTGAGCACTCCAAGTACCGCCATCTCGCATCTTTTCATCATATGTTCATCATATACAAGTACCGCCATCCAGTGGACATTTTAAGGACTAAACGAGAGGTGGCTACTACTACGACGACGCGGGAAATGCGACCCATGGCGTAAGGAGATTCGCCTCTAAATGTGTTGCAGGGCCCCTTTAACGCTCGTAATATTGCGTGAAATTGCACCAGGCGTTAAAAAGCATGTGAATTGTGCAAGTAGTGGGTGTTTTAAAGGCCCGCCCATTGCAACGTGCTCAAACAAATGTTCGTGTGTTGTCTTACGTACACGTAGTGGGCTCTTCGCCGATACGAAAAAGGAACAATGTGGCGTAGGGGGAGGTTAACAACCATACTTGCAGTAGTGATTCTAGAATAGTTTTAAACTGCCAATGTTACGCGCACCGTCGTTTGTTTCCTTACGGCATGGTTGAGGCATGCAACCAGAACCGAAGTGAGGCTAGCAATTGAAAGGCAATGCGTGCGGGGCTCTTGCGTTTGTTTGTGTGTGAGAGAGAAAGTACGGTTGTGTGCCTCTGTGCATGCGTACGTTGGTGTGCGTCTTCGTTCTGACCATTAAGTGCGGAACTGGAATACTGGTGGTCGGTGACTTTTATATCGCTAGCCCGTCCTACAGTGAGTGACTTGAAGGGCCGGCGCGGAATGATTTTGGACATTTCATTGCATAATAGCTTAGCTAAGGAGCTGCCATATTTCGTTGCCTTTTTCATACTAACTGTAAACGATGTTGCTAGAAAAAAAACAACCTTGAAACCATAATATTTGCATGATTAAGAAACCGCGACAGTTACGAAGGTTTACCAGACCGACACAGCTACGCTAGTACTGATGCTGAGGTAATATGAGGCTAACGCGAAGTTTATTAGTCCTGATGTTCTTTCGGCGAGGTGGGAAGCCCCTGTTCGGAGCTCCAAGCTCGCCGACCAACTCTGGGCAGTCCAGCAGGCCCGTGAAGCGGCGGAGAAGCAAGGCCTTGACGCCCGGACAAGGGAGACTCGAGCCCGGGTGATTAATCTGTTGAACAAATAATTAAGTATTTAGATGCGAAGCAGCTCTATGGCTAGCCCGCCTAACGCTGTCCCTCCGTTCGCACCGCTCTCGTAGCCGCAGGTGTTGGAACAGTGCCAAATAGGTCATGCTAAGGCGCGTAGCCGTAAATTTTTTCGTGGGGTGGGCACCACCTTGATTTAGGGAGGGGCACCCCCTTAAAATGGTCATTTTTCGCTATGCCATGGCATAGCCTCCTCTATACCTTCTGTGCCCGTCAAACGCTCCCTCGGCGACCGTCGTCCTTCCCTCTCACCCACCGTGGTTTTACGCGGCATTCCACCGTGGCGCGGCGCTGCTCACGTAGGGGTACTTTTGTGGCTTGCGGAGCTCTTGCCACTGTATCGCATGCTGGCGCGCCTAAGCAATCGCGTGTCGCGGCGTTTTCTTGCTGCTGTGATTGTTTGCCGATACACCTGTAAGCGCTTATAGCCATCGCACGAAGCAAAGGATAGCGTCGTCAACGTACGGCAGCCGGTTAAAAAGCTTTATGCGACCTCCTTGCGCCCGCTGGCGTACTGCTGTGTGCCACATTGCCGGTCGGATGGGAAACAAAGAATTTCTGGTGTTTCTTTTCACGAAATTCCTGCTGAGGAAACAGCACGGCAGCAGTGCATAATGGCTATACGAAGAGACGACTGGGTGCCCAACATGACATCGAACTACTCCAGTGTGTGCAACAAACACTTCATGGAGACAGACTTCGCAGAGGGGAAACGGCGTCGCCTAAAGAAAGGTGTTATCCCCACCGTGTTTCCCGACTACATATCGTACCTCAGACCATCACCATTAAAAGAGAGGACCACTGAAAGCATCCAGAAACGATCGGCTTCACAGTGCGAAGACAAAGAAAATGAGCCGAAAAGAAAACGGAATAGGCACCGAGAAGATACTCACGGTGAAGGGTCAACTTTGAATGACATTATCTTAGAACTGCAAACATCAAAGTGCGTGAACGATACTTCTCCGGATGGGCTGCAGCAAACAATGCACAGTGAAATGATCTTGGATGAGGCACCACCTTGTGCTCATAAAACAGTCGCAGACCAAGCAACGCAAGTTGACGTAGGCCTGTCCAGCCTCTTACCAGTTGAAAGAGCGTAATGGAAAAGAAAGGAGAAGGACTCGATAAAAGTGGCAGGTCTCACGTACAGTGGAAATAGATGATATGCGAAGCACGAATAAGAAATGTTGATATGTCACTTTAAAATCAGCACAACGTTACGAGGTGAAGGTAAATGATGCCGTACATGACTTCGGTGTGATGATTATAATGTTTGAATGTGTCGTTTACATTCGTCATCTATTCACGTCACGTGATACAAAATTTACTATATGTGGAGCTAGCGAAACGGCCGCTAGCATGCTATGAGCGTGGTATGTTGTCATGTTCTTACATGACACGCGTGTCAGGATTATCATGTTTGTACCAGTCAATTCCGTCATCCAACAATGTCACGTAACACCAAATTGGGTATATGTGGAGCTAACAAAACGGCCACGAGCGCATCATGAAGGACCCAATATACTCCAATGTAGCGTTGACGCGCGCGTACGCTGGGAACAGTGACGCTACGTTAGCAAAACGTGGGCACTCTATATAGTCTGACGCCAGGCGCGACCAGCGTCCGTCAGCGCGGCCTGATGGCAATCGGCGCGAAATGCCACACGCTGCATTTTGCGCCGATGCCTTACCCAGACAATACTGCGTCTCCCTCGTTTCGTGACGGAGGGACGCCGGACGCACCGAAACGCGCATGCGTCGAAGCAACGCAGCGCGGCGTGCCCCTGCGAGTATATGGCAGTGCCGTCGCATGGCGTGGCAGCGCCGGCGTGACGCGATGAAATGAACGCCAGCGAGCACGCGCACCCTGTCGCGTCGAAATGTATTGGCGCCTTGACAGTGGCTTGTAGTCATGTTCTCACATGACACGCATCTCATGATTATAATTTTTGCACCAGTCACATACCTTCGTCATCCATTGGCGTCACGTAACACCATATTTGGCATATGTGAAGCTAGCTAAACGGCCGCGAGCGCATCATGAGTGTGGCATGTAGTCATGTTGTTACATGACACGCATGTCATGATTGTCATGTTTGGATGTTTAATTTAGCTATGTCGTCCGTTCACGTCGCATAATACCGAGTTTAGTACATGTGAAGCTAGCGAAGCGGCCACGAGCGTATCACGAGCGTAGCATGTAGTCATGCTGTTACATGACACGCATATAATTTTTATCATGTTCGCACCAGTATCACACCTTCGCCATCCATTAACGTCTAGTACTACCAAATTAGGCATAAGTGAAGCCAGCGAAACGGCCGCAAGCGCATCATGAGCATGGCATGTGGTCATGTTAAATGACACGCATCTCATGATTATCATGTTTGCACCAGTCACATACCTTCGTCATCTATTCACGTACCGTAATACCAAATGTCGTATATGTGACGCTATTGACACAGCCGCGAGCGCACAGTGAGCGTGGCATAGAGTCATGTTGTTACATGACACGCATGTCATGGTTTTCATGTTAGGGTCTGTCGCTTGTGTTCGCTATGCAATCATGTCATACCATACCAGTTTTGAAACATGCTGTGTAAACGAAACCACCGCAAGAGCTGCACGACCATGGAATGTAAACCATGACATTCATGACATATATGTCATGATTTTCATTTTATGACAACTGAGATATGTTGTTCATACAGGCATGTTACGCTATACCAAGTTTGGTATTGATACTAGTATCAAAACGGCCAAGAGAGCTAAAAGTCGTAGGCGGCTAGATAGAAAGATAGATAGATAGATATATAGATAGATAAATAGATGGATAGATAGATAGATAGATAGATACGCGCAAAGTCGCCGAAGTTCGCTAATAAATGAAAGGTTTCGCCAAACAGCTGACCAATACAAAGAGGAGTTGAAGAAATTAAAGGATGACTGCCATTTCGCCGTCTTGGAGTACATCTGTGAGACAGCGAAGGAAAAGGACCTCCCTGCTGTATTCCTGTTGAACCAGATTACTAACATCAGGCGCAAGAAACCAACCTGGACGGAGGATGTGGTGTGACACTGCGTGATACTCAGGCACCTGTCGACGAAGGTGTATGAGCATGCGAGAAAAGAAAGGCTGCTGTAGCCTCCGTGCAGAAACACCCTTCAAAACTACATCGGGAGCAAGTCTGGAGAAACAGAAGTCAATTATTTGGCGCAATTTCGCCTAAAAGCTGAACTTGGCTAGCTTGAGGCATCTCAATCGAATATAAGTACCCTTATCGTCGACGAAATGAGCATCAAGCCAAAATTGCAATATAATAAGCAACAAGACTGCTTCGTCGACCATGTATACATGGGTGTAGCGAATGAGCCTGAAAGTGAGGCTGTGCTCGCAAATTCCTTGTTGTGCTTTGTGATCAACGGGCCCTCGACGTCTTACAGCATACCAGTGTCGTATATATATATATATATATATATATATATATATATATATATATATATATATATAGCTAATGGCGCCGTGATTAACCTGCGTAGGTCCAGCGTGTCGTTTTCGACTGAACGAGCTCTGTAGAGGAATCTGAGGAGCAACGCCTAACTGCTCTACGCGTTGTTCATGATGACGTAACTGTGCCGTGTTATGCCAGCGAGTCCTCGTCAAACGACCGTGCCTCTGAAAAAGGCAATCTGGGTCAAGGCCAGCCCGCAGTCCGCCTGGCGCGATCAACTCGACGGCGTGAACACGCGCGGCGCTTCTCTGGCCCACGTGCATTGAGTCAGCTGCGCACGTGACAGCGAGCCGGCGTCCTCGTGTCTGGTGGTCTGACGCATGGCGCGGCGACCCCCATTGGAGGAATCTGCCCTGACGACCAGCGGCGCTTCTGATTGGACATTTTGGTTGGACCCGGTGTAAATAAAAGAAGCCCTGCGGCGCGTCGCGATCGGAGGTCCTATGAGAGAGGAGTCCCCATGTCGGAGAGCCGACATATGTGTGAGTCAGCGGTCTTAGGCGAAAAGTCGACCTATGTATTAGAGAGGAGAGCTCGGCTCTTCGAGTCTCTGTCGGCCCCAGTGCCGAAATTGTAACGCCTCTGTATATATGCTGTACATAAACCTTGTTTAACTCACCGTCGTCTCGTCCGCTCGTCTTATCAGCTCTGCGCAGAAGCAGTCGCGGGCTGAGAAACATACGCTACCAAACGGCTGGTGACCTTCTCGGCGGAGTTGAAAGCAGTGGCGCCTTCGGGGCCGTGTCGGCGTCGCCGTCTTTCGCAACAGTGGTGGCTTCGGCGGGATCGGGCCGTCGTTCGCAACAGTGGTTGGCAGCTGCGGGATCGGCCGGCGTCAGCGACATCGATGCGGTGAGTGCCTGATGTTTTCCCCTCAGTTCACCAGACTACTCTAGCTCAGGTTGTAGTAGTTTAGAGAAGGGCTGTGTGAAGCATTAGAGTGAGCTTTGATCGTTTCAAGCAAAGTCGAAGTGCTTTGAAACCAAAGTTAATGCGGAGGGGGTAAACACGGGAGAGTGAAAAATTGCTTGCGCGTCTTGCTAGTTGACTTATAGTGGGTACGGCAAGTAAATTGTTAACAGGGGCAAACAGCAAGAGGCTAGTGTGAACGATGGAGAACCTTAAAGTGAAGGAACTCATCGAAATTTGTGAGGAACTCGGCATTACTTTGGGCCGTGCGAAACAAAAGCAAGCGATCCTTGAGATCATGAAGGATGAGAGAGTGTCGGCTGAGGAAGTCGATGAGGCCTGGGTGGATATTAAAGCACGCCGTGAGGAGGCTGAAAGGCGAGAAGTAGAAGCTCGCGAAGAAGCTGAAAGGCGCGAAGCTCGCGAAGAAGCTGAAAGGCGCGAACGTCGCGAGGAAGCCGAGAGACAGGAGCGTCTCGAGTTGAAACGACTAGAATTGGCAATCCTACAGTGTTCGCAGGCGCCTAGCGCAGCTTCTCCGACGATTCAGGTCAGCGGTATTAGAATTCGGGATCAACTGCCACCGTTCGTAGTAGGCGAGGACATGGCGAAGTATCTCGTCAAGTTTGAACACGTCTGTGAGCGAAATGCTTTGGAGCAGTCTCTTTGGGCGCGGAACCTGCTAGCTCTTCTTCCCGGCGAAGTGTCCGACGCGATAACTTGCTTGTCGAGGGAAGCGTTTGAGAGCTATGACGAGGTTAAGGAAGTGCTCTTGAGACGTTATAAGTTGTCACCCGAGGCTTTCAGGCAAAGGTTCCGGTATGCTGAAAAGGGGAATGAGTCACACGTTGACTTCGCGTTTCGTCTTAAAGCCGATTTGATTGAATGGCTCAAGGGCGAAGGTGTTTATGACGACCGCGATAAAGTGGTGGAATGCGTTGCATTGGAGCAATTCTACCGCTGCATCGAGGAGGATGTCAAACTTTGGCTGCAGGACAGACTTGGGGACGTACAGTTAAACAAGGCAGCTGAGTTAGCTGAGGAGTATTATACTCGCCGAAAGTTGCATAGCAGGGCAGCGCGCGTTGAAAAGGATGAAAGGAAAGAGGGCTTTTCAAGGAAACCTGATCAACGGAAACCCGCTCCGCACCGTAATTTCAAGAAGGACCCGTCTCTTACGAAGGACAGTGTAGGGGAAGGGCAAACAGAAGCGGAGAAATCGAGTGAGGTTTCTACCACACAGGCATTAGAACCGGAAAACAAACGGAAGCCGCTAATCTGCTACAACTGTAAAAAGGAAGGGCACATCGCGAGAAACTGTCAGGTAAAGTTTGCCTTCGCAACGATCCGAGAATCAGAAAAAAACATTCGGTTGTTGGAGCCGTATCTCCAAGAAATTAGGGTCAATGAG